CATCACATTGAAGCCCTCAGAGCAACACTGATATGAATTCATATATAAGGTGATTGCGTCACCAGGGATCATCATGTCTTAAAGCAGATGGCAATCTTCTTGGAAACAGAGTGTATATCTTCTTGTGTTTCTGTTTGTGGCTCAGTCCCGTCTCCGAGGCCGGACAACTCGTTCCACGAGGGCCGGGGCCCGAGCCGGGGCCAGGGGCCGGCGTTCGATCCCTGGTGAGAGTCTGTGGTTACTCTTTATTTTAAATGTTGTTAAAGAGCAGAGCAGAGACTCTATTCGGAAGATATTTTGAGATGAAGTTTCTCTCTGCTCAGATGATCCCTCTCACTCGGTCCAGCCTTAATTATTATTGGATCTGTGTCTCTTCAGGACGGGTCCGGACACGGTGGTTCTGAACCCCGCGGAGCCGTCCAAAGAGAAGGAGAAGCAGGGCTTCTTCAGAGCCATGAAGAAGAAGAAGAAGAAGCCTCAGATGGTAACCGTCCTCTGGGTGGGGGGGGGGGGGGGGGGGGGTCTTCAGGGTCCCGACATGTGTGCTAATTTCTTCCTGTCGTGATGTGCATCGTGCCCTTCTCCCCTTGCATGCTCTAACCCTCCCCTGCATGCTCTAACCCTCCCCCTGCATGCTCTAACCCTCCCCCTGCATGCTCTAACCCTCCCCCTGCATGCTCTAACCCTCCCCCTGCATGCCTGCATGCTCTAACCCCCCCTGCATGCTCTAACCCTCCCCCTGCATGCCTGCATGCTCTAACCCTCCCCCTGCATGCTCTAACCCTCCCCCTGCATGCTCTAACCCCCCCCTGCATGCTCTAACCCTCCCCCTGCATGCTCTAACCCTCCCCCTGCATGCTCTAACCCTCCCCCCTGCATGCTCTAACCCTCCCCCTGCATGCCTGCATGCTCTAACCCTCCCCCTGCATGCTCTAACCCTCCCCCTGCATGCTCTAACCCTCCCCCTGCATGCTCTAACCCCCCCCCCCCCCCTGCATGCTCTAACCCTCCCCCTGCATGCTCTAACCCTCCCCCTGCATGCTCTAGCTCGGGTCTGACCGGGTCTGGCCGGGTCTGGCCGGGTCTGGTTGGGTCTGGCCGGGTCTGGCTGGGTCTGGCCGGGTCTGGTTGGGTCTGGCCGGGTCTGGCCGGGTCTGGCCGGGTCTGGCCGGGTCTGGCCGGGTCTGGCTGGGTCTGGCCGGGTCTGGCTGGGTCTGGCTGGGTCTGGCCGGGTCTGGCTGGGTCTGGCTGGGTCTCAGCTGACTTACAGATGATTTACAGCTGATTTACAGAAGCTGCACTCATAGGGTCTCACAGGGACAGTGTTGGCTTTGGTTAATCTCAGGAGTCTGTGTTTCACTTCCTCCCAACATCACACAGGAGCGTCCGTCAGCGTCTTCCTCTTAAAGTGCATTTTGAACCTGTGACCTGATATTATACAGATCAGGAGGGAGGGGTACCCAAATAAAGAGCTGTGAAATATAAAAGCAGCCACACTTTGACAGTTTAATCTGACTCCCCTCACATTTCTATTTTCAAGTGGCGGTCTGTTCAAATGCTGGGAGGGGGGGGGGGGGGCGCACACATAAATGCAATCTGGCCCGGAGGAAGCAGGCAGGCTCACAGTGATGGAGGATAATGCTCGATGAGTTAGGAGCAGAATATGTGAATATACTCAGGCTTCAGAGAGCATTTTGTGTGAAATGCATAAATACCGTTATCAATCAAAACAGAGGGTTCTCTTCTCTGAGGGATGCATGATGTCTGCTTTTATTTAATGACCGTACTGCACTTAGCGTAATGCATTCACTGAGGAAAACACATTTGCCCTTTTTTCTGAATGAACAAAACCTTATATCAGAATTACGATCACTTTCATGGAAAAAGAACTAATTTCACATTTCTATAGTTGGGGTATATTAACACAATGTAAAGTACATCACACAGACATACGTCTTCTAAAGCATACCCTTGAGGTTTCAAAATAACAAATCCTTTAATCTGTGGGTCTTGTTGTCCTAAACAGGTTATGGTCACATGACACTTTTATTTTGGACCTGTTTATTGATATCTGTTCCCGTTGTGTGAAAGGTTCCCAATGAAGCGGTGGACAACGCCCTCCAGAAGTCCTCTAGGTCCTCCAGTCACCAGAGCAGCCGCCACCGGACCCGGGACAAGAGCCGAGACCGGGACAAGAGTAGGGACCGAGACAAGAGTAGAGACCGGGACAAGAGTAGAGACCGGGACAAGAGTAGAGACCGGGACAAGAGTAGAGACCGGGACCAGGACCGGGACAAAGACTGGCCTCCTGAGAAACGTTCAGATTCACACTCTCCGGTGAGTCTCAAAGGAAAAACCCAGGTATTATACTGAAACATGTTTCTTTAAACTTGATGCATCATTAGGGACCTTTTGTTTTGTTTTCCACATTGTGATAAGTGTAATGACAGCTCCTATAATAAAGTGTGAAAGAAATACAGCCAGTCCGAGCCTCAGCTGTTCCTAGGACTGCGCACTTCTGAAAAGGGGTCTCTGAAGTTGTTCCAGAGCTCCTCTCTGCGTCCTCGTATTTCCCTTCTCCTGGTCCTTCTTCCTGATGGGTCTATCACCACTGCCTTCTTCTGCTGTCTCTGCGCCACCATCAGTCTGGATCTGGAAGTCCCACAGGATCTTAGCTTTGCCGTTCTCAACCACATCTGGAGGTGCCACCCGTTTAGACCCTGGGGCCTCCAGCCCATACTCTGCACAGATCCTGTACACTATGGGGCTTTATGTACGTCGTACCCGCCTGCATCATACGACGTCAGATGAGTAGGCACATGGCTCAATACATTCCCAGAAGATAATTGGCTAACACACTAGGGGAGCCAAGCACCAGCTACTGGTGGACATAGCAGTCACTGGACACAGTCAGACCAGCCGCACTTACCTGTGTCCCGCCTGGATCCACTACGAGGAATCCTACGACTCGATGCACACATGCTTACAGGAATGCTTGGAGCTGTATAAGATCAACAGGACTGTAAGAGCCTTCATGCAGAACTCAATGGGACTGTGGAAGATGACACTGGAGGCCAGAGACAATGCACAAGTGACCATCATGTGCGGCGTATACCAAGGAGATGCTAACCCTAACCCTAGTGCTGAACCCCCTCTGTCAGATCATCAATAATAGTGGCCACTGATATTGGTTCAGAAGTGGAGAGACAATCAGCCCCCTCCTCTATATGATGACATCTAGCTGTCTGCCAGGAACCAGGTGACATCCACTCACTGATCCAGATCCCTAGGCTCTACAGCAGGGGTCGGCAACCCTAGGCACCCCCCCCCCCCCCCCCCCGGTTAACAGTTCACGATCGTCGGTACACTGATCACAATTTTTTTTTTAAATGGCACTTCATATCACAAAGGTTGCCGACCCCTGCTCTACAGCCATGATATCTGGATATCTTCAGGACTGGTTAAGTGACATCTGATGAAAGCTAAAAGAGGCAAGATGGTCCCCCACTGGGGTGGCTCTACCAGAAGGCAACACGGCGGAGCTACAGGCAGGTCCCGGGTTCAAATCCCGGGCAAGCCCCACATTTTGTCATTAACTGGTTCTTAGGCCTCGACAAAAACCGGAAAGTACAAATTGCTAGCAGCCTGACACAGTACACTAAGGGAGAGAGGGGTCGAGTGTTGACTAGTGAGCATCAGATGCCCTGCTTGGTATGTACCAGCGACAGATCGAAGAAGACGGTACAGCAAACATGGCGCACCATAACAAAGTGACTGGCATAGTGTACAGGAACATCTGTGCAGAGCCTGGGCTGGAAGAACCAAGGTATAAACAGACGGCACCTCCAAATGTGGCTGAGATGGACAAAGCTAGGATCCTGTGGGACGGACAGGATGGTGATGGCTAACCAAACTGACATTGAGGTGGTGGACAAACAGGTAATCCCAAGCGATAGTAACATCAGGAAGAAGGACCAGGAGAAGACTAGGACTGTGCCTCCAGCAAATCCCAGCAACAACATCCCAGACCTCTTTCCAGAAGAGTGCAGTCCTGGAAACAGCAAAGATACTGCCCAGGACTCTCAGGGTAGAGGCCCTGATCCTGAAGGAGTAAGAACAACAGACCGCCCAGCATTGGGCGAACATTTGTTTGTAGTGCTCATGACTTAATACATCAGAATCATGTCATTTATCATTGATAAACCCCAGACTGTGTTCACATGTTGTAGAGGTATGATCTGGGTCCTCATCTGTCCTGCACCATGTCTGTTTCAGAGTCAGCCCCTGAAGTCTCTGCGTAAACTTCTGCACCTCACCTCCTCCTCCTCTTCCAATCAGAATGCTCATTCTGACATGCGCTACCAGCCCAACCCGTCCTCCTCTCAGGGGTTCCCAGAGGGCCGGGGCCACTCGGGGGTCAGCACCCCCCAGCTGAAGAGCCGACAGACTGCCTACCCACTGCCCGGGCAGCTGGAGGCCGGCTGGCACTCGTCAGCTCTGGGTCGCCCCGAGGGAAACCCGTACCCCGAGCAGATGAGCAGCAAAGGGGGCCAGAACGGGCACGGCTTCGGACGGACCCCTCGGTCCCGAATGCCAAACCTCAACGACCTGAAGGAGACGGCTCTGTGATCGCCCTGAAGACCCCACCCCCGTTAATGTCTTCTTACGTAACACACATCTGCTGACTGCTCACACACACACACACACACACACACACACACACACACACACACACACACACACACACACACACACACACACACACACACACACACACACACACACACACACACACACACACACACACACACACACACACAGATACCAAAACTTTAAACACTGCTTGCGAAATGGGCTACAGCCTTCTGTCTTCATTTTTTATGTTTGATAGACTTTATACTGCTGCTTCTGTAATTCTGATTATGATTTGTATAATAACGTAAATATATTACAAAGTCAATATATATATATAAATGGATAGATAGGTTTTACTTTATGTATTTCTGTTTCTATTGGATATAGAGATATAGTACATTTGACTGCGTAGTATTTCCTGAACAGTATCTGAAGCTAACCGAGTGTATTATTAGTGATGGAGGTAATGTCCGTGACTCTGTCTTCACCTCTCTTCATCTCGCTGTTTGGTGTCTTCTGGTCACAGCAGTCTTTCAGATATAGACCGGGGTGGACTGACAATCTATTTGCTCTTTTTTAAAGGGTTCTTGGTTTTTAGGTCATTTTGTAATGCAGCCATTTTAGACACTGTGGTGCCATAAAGTGAGAAAAGACTGATGTACAGCGCCTTCTGCTGGAGAAAAGAGGTACTGCACCTTCTGTTTCTGACCTGACATGCACTTACTCAGCCACTGACATCTCATGCACTGTATGTGCAAATAATGTTCACATACATATATATATTTTATATATGATATAAATAACCAATGCTATATGAAAGAAAACGTTATCATCCCAAATAAACTCATATAACTAACTGTAGACTTACTGACAGTCCGTTGGGCAGTAACAGGATCTGAGGTTATTTACTGATCTATATTTGATGTACACTATGGAGGGGGAATCATACAGTAAAATATACATTATTTGCCCTGTTTTCAAGTTGATATTAAAGGATGTGATTTGTTTTTATGATAAATATCCTTCCCACCAGGACTCAAGGAGTAGTCTGTTCTCCTCTCTAAACCAGAACGATCATAGACCCAGTCCCGGTGGTTCTGCTTGTTCAATCAGTTAAAATAAATAACTGTAAATAAAGTCTAGCTGCTGTAGTTATGTTTGCAATATGAATTGTTAGAGTGATTTGTACAGCATACAGAGGAACTCAAAAGCCATTATGAGTGCAGTGATCCCCAACCGTCCTCTGAACATCAGCTCTGCCATTTAACATAATGTTTATCTTAGGTTAACTATCACTGTGTGTCCATTAACTACATCTAAATAATTATTTGTTTATACTTTCACCTATTTCAACCATGTTGCCACTACTTTGAGCACCTAACTATTACTGTAGCGTATCTTTCTTTGAGCTTTTTCACCATGTGTCCTTTTCTTTTGCACTACCTAACTATTTAATACATCTGTTCATTTCTTTGGGTTTTTTCTCTGGTCATCCATTACTTTGAGCAAACTATTAACTATTTGCCTTGCTAGATATTTGATTTGTATTTGCCAAGGTGCAGTCCAGGTAACCTTCAGAACCATTAATGGATAGGTTTGACGTTACTCTTCCCTTGTGTGTCCGTGCAGCAGCAGGACCTCCTGTCAGGAATCACTGCACTGTTTTATCTGACGGCACAAACTGAACCACTCAGGACTTAAGATCAATCTGAACCCAGAACCAGGATGTGTTTCTAACTCTGTTTCTGTCAGAACCAGAGCTTTCTTAATGTTGCACTTTAGAGAGACGTATGGCTCAGCAATATTATAACCCACTGCCTGTAAACTCCTCTTCATCACGGCTCACGGTGTGCAAAGTGTGTGAAGACTCAAAGTGGCGTGGTGCATTCAAGGACCGTGTGCTCCCTTTCCCCACACAGTAAATCCCTCTCTGTGAGTTGTTATTGTTTCTGAAGGAACATTGTGTATTATGTTAATACTGAGTGTGACCTGTTGGTAATATGTATAACAGAGGATCAGCTGTTTAAATGAATCCAGTATGTGCTTTTATTACAGACACAGATCATTAGTAGCATAGCCAGAATGTGTATCATGAGAGTGCACCCACCCCCCCCCCCCCCCCCCCCCCCCCCCCACAGGTCCAGGTTTAGTATTTCATATTTACATAATGTTACAGTAAATCTGAATAAAACAAACTCATTTAATTTGAAACCGTCAGGACTTTTTGTTTGGGTTGTTGTTGTTGTTGGTCTCATTCATGAACAAATCTTCACTCCTGCACAGGTGCTGACGGTACCTTGGCTTTCAGGTGTCCAATATAGCATCGACAGACTTAAGGACAGGTAAATAGTGCATGAAACATGTCCCCCTCCCAGACTCGGTTAGTCTGAGCCTCTCTGAACACAGTCGAGATGAAGGTCCAGGTGGAGGTCCTGGTGGAGGTCTTAATAAAGGTCCTGGTGGAGGTCTTGATGAAGGTCCTGGTGGAGGTCTTGATGAAGGTCCTGGTGGAGGTCCTGATGGAGGTCTTGATGAAGGTCCTGGTGGAGGTCCTGATGGAGGTCTTGACGAAGGTCCTGGTGGAGGGAAATAGGGACTGGTCTGCAGGGCAGGTTGTGGACCATCAGAGGTCTTCAGTAACACTTGTTCATGCACATCAGCAGCTCCATCCTCAGGGCGATGCGGGTGTGCCAGCCCAGCGGCAGCAGGCGGACGTATCGGGCCACGATGGGGGGCCGCAGCAGGTTCTGCACCGAGGAGGATCGGTCCGAGTTCCCGTAGAAGACCTGAGGAAGAGGGATCCAGTTTCTGTCAGGACTCTTTAGGACAGGAAACTCATTTCTGTAGCAGCAACACTAAAGATATCTCTTAACCCTTGTGCCCTCCTCGGGCATTTTTGTACATTTTTCCTGACTTTTTTTTTTGATTTGGTGTTCATTTCAGCTGTGTTACAGCTTTTGGCATGGATTTTTGCAAGAAGTCTTCTTTTGAGTCACATTTTTGAAATCCAATGTCGTTTACTCTTACATGTTTTGTATACTCTCGTGATGCATTTTGCACCCTCTGGGCCCCTTCGTGGCAAAAATGTACACGCTCATAGAAACTGCTATTAAATCATCATACATCAATATTTTATTAAACTTTTTTTTCCATGAATCACTTGAACAACTTCTAACGTGCTCAAAACTACCAAACATTTAATAGTTTTCAGGATTTTAACCCTTTAAATGCCTGTTTCATTATCTGAATAATTTAATTTCTCTTAAAAAAAAACACAAAAAATGAATCTTTTTCAATATAATAATTAGTAGAGGGATGGAACTTTGGTGGTTATTAGAGTCTGGGATGTGTCAAAGATTAGCAACAAAATTGATTTGACTGCATTATTAATTTTCACGTAGTGTCAGATACTACCTCTGGACACCTTCGTGGCAAAAATGTACACGCCCCAAACAACTGCTATTAAATCATCATATATCAATATATTTTTCTACTTTTTTTTTCATGAATCATATATACAACTTCTAACGTACTCAAAACTAGCAAACATTCAATCATTGGCAGGATTTTAATCCTTTAAATGCCTGTTTCATTATTTTAATTATTTCATTTCTCTCAAAAATGCCTCATTGACTTCCATTCAGACCACATTTGTTGATCTCACTGCCATTGCAGTATAAAACCATGCATTTTGTAATGTCAGCATTTCATTTAGAAGAAAAGTAGTGATATTTGATATTTCTACTCTATTCCAACAGATTAAACCATTTTCCCACTGTAGGCCGATGCATGAAATTCTTACATTTTTGCCAGTTATATTATGGAGCCGTGTGACTACCAGGGGGCCCGAGAGTGTGTGTGTGTGTGTGTGTGTGTGTGTGTGTGTGTGTGTGTGTGTGTGTGTGTGTGTGTGTGTGTGTGTGTGTGTGTGTGTGTGTGTGTGTGTGTGTGTGTGTGTGTGTGTGTGTCATTTCCAGCAGCAGACTAGCAGGTCCTGCAGCATGTGACCTGGTGCTCTCAGGTGATAGAACAACAATATTTTAGGCCTGTGCACAACCAGCACACACGTCTCCTCCCTCTCCGTGTGTGTGTGTGTGTGTGAGAATCGTAAGCATGCACAGATCATTTCATGGGTAAAAAAAGGCCATCTTTTGAGGGATGTGTTTGATGTGTCTTTGAAGAGCTGCTTGATTACTCAAAAACAAAAAACAACTGTTAGTGTGTTTATGCACCTGGCTGCGAAAGATAAACATGCAGTTTGACCAAGGGCTTATTTCATTAGTGAGCAGAGAAGGAGAAAGACCTGGAGCAAAGAGAAGGAACTCAAATGAAGAAGCATGTCAGTGCAGAGGAGACTTCAGAAATAATCTTGTAGCCTTCTTCTGCCAGCGAGCTGCAGGACTCATCTGAAGAAGACACAAGGTTCGAGGGGGGGGTCTGACACTGAATGCTTTCTGGAGTCCAGCATTTCTTTGAGTTCCTCTGACCCTTCATCTGAAAGTGGAGAGGACACTGAGGGTCCGGCCCACCATCCACCATCACAGGGGGCTTTCTTCTCACAATCTGTGAGGACACCCTGGTTTTCCCCAGCTCCTGGGAGAACGACCTCCGTTCTTCTCTGTCCCCTCACTGTGTTTTTTGTTTTTGAGTAATCAAGCAGCTCTTCAAAGACACATCAAACACATCCCTCAAAAGATGGCCTTTTGTTCCCATGAAATGATCTGTGCATGCTTACAGATTCTCACACACACACACACACGGAGAGGGAGGAGAGGTGTGTGCTGGTTGTGCACAGGCCTAAAAAATGGTTGTTCTATCACCTGAGAGAGCACCAGGTCACATGCTGCAGGACCTGCTGGTCTGCTGCTGGAAATGACACACACACACACACGCACACGCACACGCACAAACACACGCACACGCATACGCACACACATACATACATACATACATACATACACCACTCTCGGGGCCCCCTGGTAGTCGCACGGCTCCATAATATAACTGGCAAAAATTGTAAGAATTTCATGCATCGGCCTACAGTGGGAAAATGGTTTAATCTGTTGGAATAGAGTAGAAATATCAAATATCACTACTTTTCTTCTAAATGAAATGCTGACATTACAAAATGCATGGTTTTATACTGCAATGGCAGTGAGATCAACAAATGTGGTCTGAATGGAAGTCAATGAGGCATTTTTGAGAGAAATGAAATAATTAAAATAATTAAACAGGCATTTAAAGGATTAAAATCCTGCCAATGATTGAATGTTTGGTAGTTTTGAGTACGTTAGAAGTTGTATATATGATTCATGAAAAAAAAGTAGAAAGAAATATTGATATATAATGATTTAATAGAAGTTATTATGGGCGTGTACATTTTTGCCACGAAGGTGTCCAGAGGTAGTATCTGACACTACGTAAAAAATAATAATGCAGTCAAATCAATTTTGTTGCTAATCTTTGACACATCCAAGACTCTAATAACCACCAAAGTTCCATCCCTCTACTAATTATTATATTGACAAAAATGCATTTTTTGTGTTTTTTTTTAAGAGAAATTAAATAATTCAAATAATTAAACAGGCATTTAAAGGGTTAAAATCCAGATAATTATTGAATGTTTGCTAGTTCTGAGTACGTTAGAAGTTGTTTATGTGATTCATGAAACAAAAGTAGAAAGAAATATTGATATATGATGATTTAATAGAAGTTATTATGGGCGTGTACATTTTTGCCACGAAGGTGTCCAGAGGTAGTATCTGACACTACGTAAAAAATAATAATGCAGTCAAATCAATTTTGTTGCTAATCTTTGACACATCCAAGACTCTAATAACCACCAAAGTTCCATCCCTCTACTAATTATTATATTGAAAAAAATTCATTTTTTGTGTTTTTTGTCATAAATAATGAAATAATTCAGTTAATTAAACAGGCATTTAAAGGGTTAAAATCCTGAAAATTATTGAATGTTTGGTAGTTTTGAGTACGTTATAAGTTGTTTAAGTGATTCATGAAAAAAAAAGTAGAAAGAAATGTTGATGTATGATGATTTAATAGCAGTTATTATGGGCGTGTACATTTTTGCCACGAAGGGGTCGAAAGGTTGAAAATTCGAGGAGGGCACAAGGGTTAAAACCAACACACTATTTATATTATCTACACACATGTTTACATGTGTACTGTTGTTATATGTTGCTATACAATGTGCACATTTTTGCTCATTTTGTCACCACAGACAGTCTTCTCGTCAGTGTCTCTGATTGTGTCTCACCTCCCTCTCTGGTCATGGTGAAATCTCAATCTGTTTTACCGTGAGTGAATTGGATCAGTGGCATGATGAATGTAAAACTGCTTTTTGAACCGCAGGTTTCAGGGTATAGATAGGTTCTGTTATTATAGGGTCAGGGTTAGCTGGAGCTCTCTAACTGAGGGTGAAGCTAGGATCCAGCACTCACAGCAACACTAGGTATCTCAGTCTGTAGGGACCTGGCTCTGTAATTGGAGGGTTGCGGGTTCAAGTCCCAATCGGGCCAATTAAATGCAGAGAGTGACTGGTAGCTTGAGAGGTGCCAGTTCATCTCCTGTGCACTGCAGAGGTGCCCTTTAGCAAGGCACCGAACCCCCAACTAAGACTGGGAGCCTCTTTGCTCTTCGTATTTGAGTTAGTAAATGTACTTAGTTACTTTACACCACTGTTTACACCACAATGAAGGAACAGAAGACCCGGCAGATCAACGAGAAACAACGAGTCAAAGTCCTCCAAAGAGTCTGCTGCAGTTCACTAACATGTGTACGTCTGTGTCCCCGGTCACTCACCCTGTTGTTCCCTGTCTGGTCCTTGTAGTAGATCCAGTTGAGGGTTTCCACGCTGCGGTACTGGATGCTGTATTTGGTGACCCACTCATCAGCATCACAGCGGCCCTGGCTCAGGATCCCCGACATCACCTGCACCTCCTTCAGGTCGATCTGGATCCACTGGTGCAGGTCGTTAAACTTGGACAGCCACGCACACCTGACGCAAACACCAGCTTTAGTTTCATATTTAAATCAAATATAATAATTATAAAGGGGTCCGGACCTACCCAAAGCCCTGGTTGTTGAGGCGGGCCTTGAGGGGAAGCCAGGAAGAGTACCAGCCCGAGTACTGGTCCTGGCTGGAGCAGCTGATCTGGTCCGAGGTCACAGATCCAGATTCAAAGCCCAGAGCCCGGTGGTACGGACACTCTGTGGACAGAGGAAGCATTGTGGAGTTAGCACCATAACTAACTAGCCGGCTGTAGTTAGCTTTGTAATGAGTCTCTATTGGCGCATTTCCACTGCAGCGCGTAGCACGGTTTAAGTGTGCTGTGCCAAACCCGGCCCGTTTTTTTTTGCTTTTCCACTAGGGGTAGTTCCGGCTCAGGAACAACCGGGCTGAGTATGCTAGACTAGTGACGTAAACACTCGACTGCTGAATGGTCAGACAAACTAAATGAACATATTTGACCGTAATTTAATTGTAATACACGTTTCAAAATGATGCCGAAGTAACAACATACTGATACCGGTTAGTAAAAACCATGAATTAATGCTTTGTCAAGTCTGCAGACAGACGGCAGGCGAAACACCTTTTAAAATGCGTGTTTTCTGAATGGAGATCGGCTAAGCTAACGTTGTATATGCTCCGACCGTCCACACTCACAACAACAGCCTATACAGACATAAATAAAGCAGCGACTGTATTCACCATGACACAGGCAGTCTGTGGTTTGTACTTGTTTCACTTCTGTCTAGTTTCTGAACAGATATGAGGAGCTGTGAGCTCTGAGTGCTAACAGCTAACGGCTGATGTTGGTTTTGTGGTTCTCATTGAAGATGACGTCACGGCTCCGCCTACACTGCGTTACTATAGATACTACCCCAGTTCCTAAACTGTAATGGAAATGCAGCATAAAGTGAGCCTGGCCTACCAAGGCCTAACTATACCGTACTAAGCCGTGCCAGGCCCCGGAAGTGGAAATGCGCCATATGTGACATAAGAGGAGGAGGAGGAGGGGGGGGGGGGGGGGGGGGGGGGGTTCTGGTTGAAGTTTCAGGAGATCAGATCTGAATCAGACTGTATCAGGTTCAGATCTGAATCAGACTGGGTCAGGTTCAGATCTGAATCAGACTGGATCAGGTTCAGATCTGAATCAGACTGGATCAGGTTCAGATCTGAATCAGACTGGATCAGGTTCAGATCTGAATCAGACTGGATCAGGCTCAGATCTGAATCAGACTGGATCAGGCTCAGATCTGAATCAGACTGGATCAGGTTCAGATCTGAATCAGACTGGATCAGGCTCAGATCTGAATCAGACTGGATCAGGTTCAGATCTGAATCAGACTGGATCAGGCTCAGATCTGAATCAGACTGGATCAGGCTCAGATCTGAATCAGACTGGATCAGGCTCAGATCTGAATCAGACTGGATCAGGCTCAGATCTGAATCAGACTGGATCAGGTTCAGATCTGAATCAGACTGGATCAGGCTCAGACCTGAATCAGACTGGATCAGGCTCAGATCTGAATCAGACTGGATCAGGTTCAGATCTGAATCAGACTGGATCAGGTTCAGATCTGAATCAGACTGGATCAGGTTCAGATCTGAATCAGACTGGTTCAGGTTCAGATCTGAATCAGACTGGATCAGGTTCAGATCTGAATCAGACTGGATCAGGTTCAGATCTGAATCAGACTGGTTCAGGTTCAGATCTGAATCAGACTGGTTCAGGTTCAGATCTGAATCAGACTGGTTCAGGTTCAGGTTGCGTGATGAGGCAGCAGGATTTCTGCAGTATCATGCAGCGAAGGCCTTGCCCTATTTTGGGCGTCCTAATCTGCTCATCACCTCCTGCAGGTAATCAGATTATCTGCTCGGCCTCTCAGTGCTTTATTTCTTTAATATCTTCATCTCAGATCCAGACTGTGAGGAAGACCATCATGCAGGAGAACCAGATCCTCCTGTATGAGTCTCCTCCTGATGAACCAGTCTTTAGAGAGCCGCGAGGTTTCATGGTGGTGTCATGAGGGATATGTGAACTCACCTGGCATGCAGGTGTCCAGCTGAGGCTGTGGGGAGGGGGGGGGCAGCTCGGGCTGGAGGAGGGGGGGATTACGTGTCGCTGTGTCAGCAGATTCACAGTCACATGTGCAGGCCTTCACGTTGGACGTCCAGGACTCGATGACCTCCTCCTGCAGACCCTCCTCCTGCAGACCCTCCTCCTGCAGATCCTCGTTCTGCAGATCCTCGTTCTGCAGATCCTCCTCCTGCAGATCCTCGTTCTGCAGACCCTCCTCCTGCAGATCCTCGTTCTGCAGATCCTCCTCCTGCAGCTCCTCCTCCTGCAGACCCTCCTCCTGCAGACCCTCCTCCTGCAGCTCCTCCTCCTGCAGCTCCTCCTCCTGCAGACTCTCCTCCTGCAGACCCTCCTCCTGCAGATCCTCCTCCTGCAGATCCTCCTCCTGCAGATCCTCGTTCTGCAGATCCTCGTTCTGCAGATCCTCCTCCTGCAGGAGACCCAGGTTAATCCACAGAGCAGATCTCTAACAAACATTGTATTTAAATTGTAACTGGTGTTACCTCCTGAGAGTGCACAGAGATCAGCGCTGAGCCGTGCATCAAAGAAACAAAGAGATAACATCATGAAAGTGTCATAATGAGACAAATGAACAGTGTACGGCACAATGAGACGGACAGGACGTCACGTTAAATACTGAACAGCGTACGGCACAATGAGACAGACAGGACGTCACGTTAAATACTGAACAGTGTACGGCACAATGAGACGGACAGGACGTCACGTTAAATACTGAACAGTGTACGGCACAATGAGACAGACAGGACGTCACGTTAAATACTGAACAGTGTACGGCACAATGAGACGGACAGGACGTCACGTTAAATACTGAACAGTGTACGGCACAATGAGACAGACATGACGTCACGTTAAATACTGAACAGTGTACGGCACAATGAGACAGACAGGACGTCACGTTAAATACTGAACAGTGTACGGCACAATGAGACGGACAGGACGTCACGTTAAATACTGAACAGTGTACGGCACAATGAGACGGACAGGACGTCACGTTAAATACTGAACAGTGTACGGCACAATGAGACAGACAGGACGTCACGTTAAATACTGAACAGTGTACGGCACAATGAGACGGACAGGACGTCACGTTAAATACTGAACAGTGTACGGCACAATGAGACAGACAGGACGTCACGTTAAATACTGAACAGTGTACGGCACAATGAGACAGACAGGACGTCACATTAAATACTGAACAGTGTACGGCACAATGAGACAGACAGGACGTCACGTTAAATACTGAACAGTGTACGGCACAATGAGACGGACAGGACGTCACGTTAAATACTGAACAGTGTACGGCACAATGAGACGGACAGGACGTCACGTTAAATACTGAACAGTGTACGGCACAATGAGACAGACAGGACGTCACGTAAAATACTGAACAGTGTACGGCACAATGAGACGGACAGGACGTCACGTTAAATACTGAACAGTGTACGGCACAATGAGACGGACAGTACGTCACGTTAAATACTAAACAGTGTGCGGCACAATGAGACAGACAGGACGTCACGATAAATACTAAACAGTGTACGGCACAATGAGACAGACAGGACGTCACGTTAAAGACAAATGAACAGTGTACGGCACAATGAGACAGACAGGACGTCACGTTAAATACTAAACAGTGTACGGCACAATGAGACAGACAGGACGTCACGTTAAATACTAAACAGTGTACGGCACAATGAGACGGACAGGACGTCACGTTAAATACTAAACAGTGTACGGCACAATGAGACAGACAGGACGTCACGTTAAATATTAAACAGTGTACGGCACAATGAGACAGACAGGACGTCACGTTAAATACTAAACAGTGTACGGCACAATGAGACAGACAGGACGTCACGTTAAAGACAGATGAACAGTGTACGGCACAATGAGACAGACAGGACGTCACGTTAAAGACAAATGAACAGTGTACGGCCCAATGAGACGGACAGGACGTCACGTTAAAGACAGATGAACAGTGTACGGCACAATGAGACAGACAGGACGTCACGTTAAAGACAAATGAACAGTGTACGGCCCAATGAGACGGACAGGACGTCACGTTAAAGACAAATGAACAGTGTACGGCCCAATGAGACGGACAGGACGTCACGTTAAAGACAGATTAACAGTGTACGGCACAATGAGACAGACAGGACGTCACGTTAAATACTGAACAGTGTAAGAACACATTATAAGTGAAATTGCAGATGTTGGGATTCAGGATGAGATTAAGATACAACGATGAGGAAATAAAAACATTACAGAAACTGAAATGAAAATACACAATAAATACTTTCAGTCTGGAGGTATTTCATTTAATTTACAAACAATAAAGGAGGCCAATAACGTTCATTATTCTGTGACCAAAAAACCTGATATAAGAAAAAGATAAAATAATATTGAAGAGTAAAATAACTTTGTTAGTAGAAAGTCATTTGTAATTTTGAGTCTCTTTTATTTGATATTTTTACTTAATTTTGATACTTCTTTCTAATTTTGATTAACACAAACACAACGTTTAAAATCAACTTATAAATTATGATTGTTACTTTATTTAGTGATGAATACAGCAATGCTTCAAACACTAAACCATTCTGAAACATTGGGCATACTTGATTTGTTCCTTTACTGATTTACGTTAGAATGCAGGACTTTCTGTGCGTGTTTCTTCAGAGCGAGAGAACTCATTATAATAATGTTACACTTTATATGATGTTCTTACCGGTAGAGAGCAGTAGAAAGAGCAGCATCGCAGCACGGCCATCAGCCATCGTCCTCCGTCAGCAGAGACTGATACCTGCCGCCTGAATGAAGGGATTACTGTAATCCAGGAGGAGATGTTCTCACTATTAACCCTCTCACTCCTGTTATCTCACACTCTATTAACCCTCTCACTCCTGTTATCTCAGACTCTATTAACCCTCTCACTCCTGTTATCTCACACTCTATTAACCCTCTCACTCCTGTTATCTCACACTCTATTAACCCCCTCACTCCTGTTATCTCAGACTCTATTAACCCTCTCACTCCTGTTATCTCAGACTCTATTAACCCTCTCCTCACTCCTGTTATCTCAGACTCTATTAACCCTCTCACTCCTGTTATCCCAGACTCTATTAACCCCCTCACTCCTGTTATCTCACACACTATTAACCCCCTCACTCCTGTTATCTCACACTCTATTAACCCCCTCACTCCTGTTATCTCACACTCTATTAACCCTCTCACTCCTGTTATCTCAGACTCTATTAACCCCCTCACTCCTGTTATCTCACACTCTATAACCCCCCTCACTCCTGTTATCTCACACTCTATTAACCCCCTCACTCCTGTTATCTCAGACTCTATTAACCCCCTCACTCCTGTTATCTCAGACTCTATTAACCCCCTCACTCCTGTTATCTCAGACTCTATTAACCCTCTCACTCCTGTTATCTCAGACTCTATTAACCCTCTCACTCCTGTTATCTCAGACTCTATTAACCCTCTCACTCCTGTTATCTCACACTCTATTAACCCTCTCACTCCTGTTATCTCAGACTCTATTAACCCTCTCACTCCTGTTATCTCAGACTCTATTAACCCTCTCACTCCTGTTATCTCAGACTCTATTAACCCTCTCACTCCTGTTATCTCAGACTCTATTAACCCTCTCACTCCTGTTATCTCAGACTCTATTAACCCTCTCACTCCTGTTATCTCACACTCTATTAACCCCCTCACTCCTGTTATCTCAGACTCTATTAACCCTCTCACTCCTGTTATCTCAGACTCTATTAACCCTCTCACTCCTGTTATCTCAGACTCTATTAACCCTCTCACTCCTGTTATCTCACACTCTATTAACCCTCTCACTCCTGTTATCTCAGACTCTATTAACCCTCTCACTCCTGTTATCTCAGACTCTATTAACCCTCTCACTCCTGTTATCTCACACTCTATTAACCCCCTCACTCCTGTTATCTCACACTCTATTAACCCTCTCACTCCTGTTATCTCAGACTCTATTAACCCCCTCACTCCTGTTATCTCAGACTCTATTAACCCTCTCACTCCTGTTATCTCACACTCTATTAACCCTCTCACTCCTGTTATCTCACACTCTATTAACCCCCTCACTCCTGTTATCTCAGACTCTATTAACCCTCTCACTCCTGTTATCTCACACTCTATTAACCCTCTCACTCCTGTTATCTCACACTCTATTAACCCTCTCACTCCTGTATCTCAGACTCTATTAACCCTCTCACTCCTGTTATCTCACACTCTATTAACCCTCTCACTCCTGTTATCTCAGACTCTATTAACCCTCTCACTCCTGTTATCTCAGACTCTATTAACCCTCTCACTCCTGTTATCTCACACTCTATTAACCCTCTCACTCCTGTTATCTCAGACTCTATTAACCCCCTCACTCCTGTTATCTCAGACTCTATTAACCCTCTCACTCCTGTTATCTCAGACTCTATTAACCCTCTCACTCCTGTTATCTCACACTCTATTAACCCTCTCACTCCTGTTATCTCACACTCTATTAACCCTCTCACTCCTGTTATCTCAGACTCTATTAACCCTCTCACTCCTGTTATCTCAGACTCTATTAACCCTCTCACTCCTGTTATCTCAGACTCTATTAACCCTCTCACTCCTGTTATCTCAGACTCTATTAACCCTCTCACTCCTGTTATCTCAGACTCTATTAACCCTCTCACTCCTGTTATCTCAGACTCTATTAACCCCCTCACTCCTGTTATCTCACACTCTATTAACCCCCTCACTCCTGTTATCTCAGACTCTATTAACCCTCTCACTCCTGTTATCTCAGACTCTATTAACCCTCTCACTCCTGTTATCTCACACTCTATTAACCCCCTCACTCCTGTTATCTCACACTCTATTAACCCCCTCACTCCTGTTATCTCAGACTCTATTAACCCTCTCACTCCTGTTATCTCAGACTCTATTAACCCTCTCACTCCTGTTATCTCAGACTCTATTAACCCTCTCACTCCTGTTATCTCAGACTCTATTAACCCTCTCACTCCTGTTATCTCACACTCTATTAACCCTCTCACTCCTGTTATCTCAGACTCTATTAACCCTCTCACTCCTGTTATCTCAGACTCTATTAACCCTCTCACTCCTGTTATCTCACACTCTATTAACCCTCTCACTCCTGTTATCTCAGACTCTATTAACCCTCTCACTCCTGTCGGCAACCCTAGGCACCGTAACCAGTAGCACACTAGGAATATGTGGAATAAGTGTGCAGAATATATAAATTGTATTTTCGGATCCTTAACGAGACCGCTGCCAGAGCGCGTCTCCCCGTTACCTGCAGGAGAGAGAGAGAGAGAGAGAGAGAGAGAGAGAGAGAGAGAGAGAGAGAGAGAGAGAGAGAGAGAGAGAGAGAGAGAGAGAGAGAGAGAGAGAGAGAGAGACCAGGGATTATCTGGTTAGCTAGCTATGCTAAAGGATATAAAGAGCTCTCTCCTGACAGACTGAGAGGCTCTGATAA